ATTCACGATTATAACGGTAGTAATGTATTTTGACCAGCTTGGCGAATAGTCCCGGCACTTGAGTAGCATGACGGATTCAAACAACTGAGCTTGGAATGTCGGCAATCACTAAAGTAAAATGACCGGGACAGCTGGTGGGAAATATTCAAGTCCACGTGATTTCACCGTCCGAGCTAGCATATGCAATTCTATGTGTATGCAAATTGTAACCAATCCGTGTTCGAAAAAATAATATATTTATTTACATAACAATAAATATTCAAATTGTGGAGAGATGCGGTCTTGTGGATATCTGGTCGTTCAGTATAAATATGGTCGAAGAAAGTGAGATAAAGCCCAGACTCACAGTATGCTTACTTTCCGACACGTACGTTAATATGCCGTCCTATTAAGATAGGAAGTGTTTTATGAAGGCAAGAAGGAAAACTGAAGAAAACGCGTCAATCTGGCAGTGGCACGGGGAGTGATAAGTTTGACATTGACACGAAAGATTTTTCACCAGCAAAGCGTGGGAAAAGAAAGAAATCCAAAGCAAAGGAAACATTTGACGTCGGTGAGTTACCAGCCGAACGTACCACGAAAACCAGTGATAATAGTCCACTCAAGAAAAGGTGTAAAAAGTAAAAGGACAAACGTCTTCTCTGTCAATGAACATGCGATTACAGAAGAAAGCTTGAAGGACTGTGGGGGCAAACTAAGGGGCAAACCAGGACAAAGCAGATGCTGAAGAAACTGGAGTTGGTAACGCTGAAATACAACGTGTCGTCGAAGATGTGATACAATTCTTGCAAGACAATGTTTGAGAATTGGAACCGTCGACATCCGCCACAACTGCCAACACAGAAAAGCAGGGGCCTGGACATATCGAACCAGCGAGCACGCAACAAAACGTCGATGTCACCAAAGAAATGGTTCAAGAAACTGTATGCAATACAGAACAATCAACACTTGCGAGTTTTTTCGAAAAACAAACTATTAAAAACGTGTTGTGTATGCACACGCATCGCCAATGGACAAACGTGATGATGAACATGTATTGGACGAAAAAAACGGGTGAGCTACGCCACAAAATACCAGATGACAAATGACGACAATACAGATGAAGATCGTGCTGAAAATGACGATTTTTTGGAGCAACGTTACCCACCTGTACTCGATAGTGACATTGAAATTGAATCAGACACAGAAATTGGTGCTACATTCGATTATGTTGCCTCCGGCACTGGTGAATGGAGAATGGCCACGGAGGAAGACTGCGATATATTTACCATTCCAGTTTTTGAACACGAACCTGGACCAACTTTCGAACTGCCTTCCTATGCTCGTGAGGTGGAATATTTCTACAAATTTATCCCTTTTTTTTGTTTTTGTTTTTTTTTGTTTTTTTTAACAGTCAAAACACTATTAAAAAAAATACAAATTTATCCTACTAGAACTGATAGAACTGGCTTCCACCGAGACTAATAAATACGCCAAATATCATCAAAAATACATTGCAAAGAAATTAAATGCCCGCTGGCATAATACAAATTTCACTGAAATGCAAGCATTCTTTGGTGTGATGATATGTATGGGTGTTGATCACAAATCTGCAATTGACGATTATTGGTCGCGTGACCCCTTTCTGCAGAACATGGGAATTGCATCAGTAATGACTTGGGCCAGATTTCAAATGCTAAAGCGTTATTTTCATTTAGCTGATCCAGTAAATGACCCACGGCGGGATCATGACATTGAACGCCGTCGTCAACTATCAGAGGCCGACCCGTTGTATATAATCAACCCATGGCTGAAACCCGTACTCGAAAATTGTCGGCGATATTATCAGATGGGACAGGAAATTTCAATTGACGAGGGTATGGTGAGATTCAAGGGAAGGTCCATGTTTAAGCAGAGATTGCCCCACAAACCCGACCGTGATGGCTTCAAAATATGGCAGGTGTGCGACTCGACAACGTCTTACATTGCGAACTTTGAACCATATTTGGGAGTGAAATATAAAACTACCAATGATGGAAGAAAGAAAGAAACTGGGATAGCAGAGCGTCTCTATGGGATCTAATGGCTGATTGCAAACATCTCCCTCAGACGAGTCATCTCACCACAGATGGCATCTGCCTCACCAGCCTTCATCTCAAGTCACCTCTTCGCCTTGGCAAACAACTCCGGTAAGTCACAAGGGTCACACATGCCCGACCAAAACCTACTTGAACAATCATAGCCATATCTGACCGTGGGGTCTACGCTCACTTGCAGATCTCCTAACACCTGCCACTTCTGACACAGCACCTGACGCACATTTATCGGCAAGCTCTGACCTCTCCTGCTGCTCACTAATTACTCCTGGACTGTGATGGGCATCATCAACAGTCGGAACCTCACTTGCCAAACCACTGTGGCGCTCATTCAGATCATCATCATGCACCTCAGCTGCTTCAGGCTCCACGCACAGACCAGTTTCCACAGGGCTGATCACCACTAGTTCAGCTACCCTGGATTCAGTAGGGACTTGGCTTTGCTCTGGACATTCAACCCAATAGACAAGCCCACCATCAGAACTTGCACTCGTCCATTCCGGTTTCGATTCAGACTCTGAGCTGCTTTGAGGGCATCTGGCCCTGGTCCTTGCACCTAGTCGTCATTATACCTTTTTAGCCCTTTCCCTCATTGGTCTATTAGGGTAAGGCATATATATGCTACATGGAAGGAGTAGATTCCTGTGCAGCACTCTTCTCCAGTGTCTCAATTCATAAACAGGCGCATCAGGATTCATGCGACGAATCACAACATAGGGTTCCTTTTCCCATCGATCAGCTATCTTGTGCTTTCCTCGTATATTGACATTACGGACCAGCACTCTATCACCGGGCTGTAAGACCGCTTCCTTCACCTTCAATCCATAACGCTTACAGGTTATGGAAGGTCTGCACTTTGCATCTACATCATGTTGGATCCTGGGCCAATTAAACCTCCACCGCAACAAGTCAAGTGTTCTCTCCTTGCCAGGGTGCCCCATGTCACCATGAAGCGCCTCCATGGCTGTACCATGGTATGCTTCAGGCAGAACCAGCTGATGGCACTCCTTTCCTTCTGTATCTGTTCACACTCTATGCAAAACACCGTTTTCAAGCGTAAGCGATTCCATTCTCTTAGCACCAACCTAACCTCATCAATCTCACCGCTTCTCCCCTGTCGAGAGGGTCTGTGGGATCTTCCAACATACCAACACAGTCTACCAATCACCAAATCCTTCCGCTGTAGTTCCCTCTATTCATCCATGGTGACAGTGGAAAGCGCTGGACCATGCACCCATTTCTCAGGTTCTTCCAGCAGTCACTCCCAGTAGTTCCACTGCAGGCATGGTTGAGGTATGTTGAGCACTGCTTATGGCTGCAACAGTCTCCTTTCGCATAGTCTTGCACTTCCTTGCACCAGGGGGGTTTCAATCAAGCCAGCCACCACAACCAGTGTCATCCGTAGTATATCCTTGTTGTGGCCTACGAGACAAACCGTCTGCATCACTGCTCGGTTTACCAGGTCTATACTGCAATTCAAAGTGATATTGGGATAATGCAGCAAGCCATCGGTGTCCGGTCACATCCAATTTTGCACTCGTCATAACATATGTGAGCGGGTTGTTGTCTGTCACCACAACAAATTTGTTGCCATACAGGTAGTCGCTAAACTTTTCTGTGACAGCCCACTTCAGCGCCAAAAACTCAAGCTTGTGAGTTGGATAGTTGCGCTCACTCTTGGCCAGTCTTCGGCTCGCATACGCTACAACCCTCATTTGCTCTCCTTCATTCTGATACAAGGCTGCACTCAGATCCAACAAACTCGCATCTGTGTGAAGCTCAAAGGGCCTGCTGTAGTCAGGATATGCCAGGACCGGTGGGGTCATCAGCGGCTCAACCAAAGTTTTGAACACCAGTTGGCATTCTGGAATCCACTCAAACCTTGGCCGCTGACTTTCAGGCACCAGTCTCTTCTTACTCCCTCCACCAGTTATCTCATACAACCCTGTGATCAACTCATTGAGTGGCTTAGCGATTTTCGAATAGCCCTCAACGAAGCGAGGGTAATATCCTGCTACACCAAGAAACGTCGTCACCTCTTTGACGTTGGTAGACACTGGCCAGGCCCTCAGGGCTTCTGTCTTTCTTGGGTCTGTCTGTATGCCATCCTTCATCACAACGTGGTCAAGATAATTGATCTTCTCCTGAAAGCATTTGCATTTCTTAGCCTTAAGCTTTAAACCTGCCTTTTCTAGCCGCTGGAACACCTGTTGAAGTCTGTGCAAGTGTTCCTCAAAGGTATCCGAGTACACCACAATGTCAGCTTGGTAGACTACACAGGTCTCGTAGTTAATTCCTTCCAAACACTTCTCCATAATCCGCTGAAACTCACTGGTGCTGGTTGCCATGGAGAGCCTGAGGCACTCAAAGTGACCAACTGGTGTGCTGAATGCAGTCTTCTCAACATCTCTGTCGTTCATGACCACTTGCCAGTAGCCAGACTTCATGTCTAACGTACTGAACAACGTCACTCCATTCAAAGCATTAAAACACTCTTCAGTGCGTGGTAGAGCATATGCATTTCTGACAGTGTGTGCATTCAACTTCTGATAGTCTATGCACAGTCACGTGCTTCCATCCTTCTTAGTCACCATCACAATTGGAGCCGCCCAGGGACTGTGCGACCTTCGTATAACACCACTGTCAATCATTCCTTGCAACACCTGTCTCAGTTCTTTATAACGGGCAGGTGGTACACACCTATGCCGCTCTTATCGCGTCGCACCATAAGCAGCGTCTTGCACATAGCCTTAACCTCACCAATATGACCAGTAGGACTAACAAACTTGTCTCTGACTGAGAGCGCGACAGGTTTCTCTTCCCAATTGTGACATCCGCATGGACATTATCCTATTGTATTTATTGTCAGCCGCCACCAACACCAATGTGTGATAGTCCGCTCTTCATTGAACATCAAGCGAGGAAAAAACAGGGGGACTTCAATATAACCTACATAAGGCAATCTCTCACCATAGCTTCCATGAAGACAAAGGAATCGTCAAGGGGCTTCACTTTAATGTCTTCAAGGTGTTTACGGTAGAATGCATTGCCTACAGACGTGACCTGTGAACCCGTGTCCAGTAAACAAGCACATTTGATTCCTCTGATAAAAACGGAACCCTCACGGTTTGATCCAACCAAACGATCCCATACACTGTTCGCCATTAAGAGTGTTTTTCGGCCCTGTTTCGACGCAAGTACATCACATCATCTGTCATCACCTTCAGGGGAAAGATCTTCATTTGTCTGAGGTTGACTGTTGCCCTTATTGGTGTGTTTTTGAGCTGGTGGTTTCTTCCGTTCGCGCCTCCTTCGACAATGTTTAACTGTGTGACACCGATTACTGGACCTTGATGAACCATCATTGCCAGACTTCCTGTCTTTCGCAGTAGCCGTGGGACACTTGGGTGAGATGTGTCCTGGCTTGCCACAGATGTAGCAGGTGACCTCCTTGAATATGGTTGGACACTTCTTGGCCATGTGGCCCAACTCACCGCAAACATAACACTGATCAGGGGGCCATTGCATGTCTTGTCATGGGGTGCAGGTTCGAAAGCTTGGGCACCCTCACCAGACACCGGCATCGTCGCATCTTTGACTATTAATCTCTCCTTCATCAGTTCTATGACATCAGCTTGCATCATCACGTTGCCTATCATCATCACGATCATCTCTAGCCAGTGATACATGACCCTTGACAGCGGCAGTCTTGTTACTCCTCGTCCTGTCAGACCATTCCTGCTCATCATGCTCAGCCTTGCGAGTCTCGCGCCATAGTTGTTGAAAGGTCGAGATGTTTTCAAACTTGTGTTGCATTGCGCTATTTACATATCTATTGTGCAGATTACGCCAGAAAACAGTTCTCAATGTCTGGTCTACCTCAGTGGAGGCTATGCCTCCCCGCTCTTTGTCTGTATTGAGCGCCAGTTGCAAGCGCATGCTTTAGTCCTTTATACCTTCACCTTCCTTCTGCCAACTGTCTTTGTAAAACCTCTCTAGGAGCATCAAACCACTATCCACCTCGCCATAGGGGATTTCCAATGTCGAAATGATGTCATCAATGTGCGCATCTTCGCCCATATTCATAAACAATTCTGCTGTGTCACCCTTTGACGACGCCTTCATGACGGTATTCAGCGTGCTTTCCTCAGGCAACCAATAACATACTTCCATTGTCTAAGAGGCCACATCCCCCTTGTGTTGGTCACTGTTAGAGAATGTAGGCACATGAGGTCTTGCGTATGCCCATGGGCCAACGACATTTCGAATTTGTTCTCCCCCTTCAATGTCATTTGCAGGTGGTGTTGCGCTTTTCAGTGTCTGTGCGACAGGGCGGTCAACGATGCTTTTCCTCAGGGCATGATGCGGACTACCCATCTCACGACAGCATCATTCACGTTTCTTGCGCATTTCCTCCTCGAGAAACTCGTTAGTTTGTCTCTGTTGAAGCTCCTTGTCTACCAATCTGCAAGCTCTCTCACGCAGCTCAGCGGCCTCGCTCTCATCAAGGAATCGCCTGTACATCTCGGTACATTCCGGACTACCCGATGCAGGTGATGGTGCTGTTCCACCCTGCGCTGGTGTATCCAAAAAAGAACCACCCTCTGCCATATTCACCAATATACACCAATAACCAAAAAAAGACAAAAGTCACCACAAGAGTATTCAAATTAATGAACTACTCCACCACAAGGACAAAGTGAACCCAATGTCACAACTGAATAATGACTGATCACCCTTGACTGTAAACCAACACTGGACGGTTTCTGCTCCACTCTTGCTCCAATGTAACTGACAAGCAATCTACATGTACAAACACCAAGTTTGTTGTCCAATTACCAACCGAGCCAACACGTTTGGGCGCCAATTTGCCACCCCCGCTGTCCGGGGTTCATGGGACTCTGACGGGGCGAGGCAGATGATGAAACTTCCGTTCACCAGTCTAAATAATCTTCGCAGGATACCGCTAGTAGTCCTCATCCTCACA